GAAACCAACAAGAGAGAGAAAAAAAAACCCCAAAGAAAAAAGCCGTCAAGCAATCCTCAAATAGAAAACAGGAATGTTCCCTGCTAGGAAGCTGGCTGGCTGAAATAATCTTCTTTTGAGCACTCCCTTTTAAGGACAATAATTGATGTTTCAGTCACATTTAAACAGTAATATTAAGTATCAAGAATATAAAAGTAATATTAAATTGAATTATTTTTTCTTTTCATTCAGACTGTGATGTGGATCACAGACTTGGAAAGAACTTGTTTGCTGGAACAATACCTTCTTTATATTTGCAAAAATTTGGACAAAAAAGCCTGGAGTGAAGTTCAGTAACCATTTATATCACAGCATCTGATACTTTGCTAGACCTGTAGCAGTTATGCAGTTATATTTTTCACACTGTTGAAAGCCAGAATGACAAAATTTAGAGCTAGTTCCTTAGGGGTAGAATTGGAATTGAATAGCTCAGCAAACAGGAAGAAATGTAATCCTTTGAGTACAAGACCTTGAACTGGAAAGTTTTGATGTTAAAAGCAAACACTTCTACATTGTACTTTTAGGAGACAATCTTCTTTCCTTTGCCTGATTTGATAATAGGGCTATGAAGATGGTGCAGGGGCTTGAGTAGAAGCCCCACAAGGCGTGACCGAGGTCACTTGGTCCACTCAGCCTGGAGGAGATGGAGGGGAGACCCCACTGCAGTCACAACTTCCTTGTGAGGGGAAGAGGAGGGACAGGCACTGATCCCTGCTCTGTGGCAGGACCCAAGGGAATGGCCTGAAGTTGTGTCAGGGGAGGTTTAGGTTGGATATTAGAAAAAGCTTCCTCACCCAGGATGTGGCTGGGCACAGGAACAGGCTGCCTGAGGTGACAGCACCAAGCAAATCTTGGAGCTGTGCTGTAAAGGGCCAGGAGTTGGACTCAATGATCCTTATGGGTCCCTTGCAGCTCAATATATTCTGTCATTTTGTGATTTTCAGGGCTTTTTCTTTTTTAATAATATTGATTTTCCTATATTCTCATGAAGAGCATTTCAAGAGAAATCTCTAGTAAGAGATTCAGCTAGAATTTTTTTAAATACTTACCCAAGGGTAGGGTACTACAAGTGTATTCAATTTTAAAAATAAAATGTTACTTAATAATTTGGACTACCTTGAGAAATCAGACTCAATTTTCAATAAAGTACATAAATAGAGGAGCTAATTTATCCACTGTATAAATAGAATTCGTAGTCATATTGCTGATGTTGTGTCTGTAAATATGAAAAATAGACGGATAAAATGTTATTTTCTTATGTCATTGTCTTATCTTATGCATAAACTCAGAAACAAACAAGGAGATCCATACCTGTCTCTTGCAATGACGTGTATCCTCCAGTATTGGAAGCTGCAGTTTCTTTTTTCTCATTCAAAGCAAAGAAGGCAAGATTTATATTAGGCCTCTGATCAGTTTATGCAAATCTCATTCACCTGGATCTCAGGTGATAGAGAAGAGAAAGGTCACGACAGAATGAGGATCTAACCTTAAGTTTGGAGCAGTCAGCTGTGAGAGAAGGGAGAAACCCTGGGAAGAAGACTATAAAGCCCAGCACCTCCCAATTGTAACCTAAAGACTGCAGAGTCAGGCTGCCCCTTATCTTCACCAGGAACGCAGCAAGTGTGAGCAATTGTTCATCAGTAATTTTTGAGCAATTGTTCAATGCTGTCGTCAGTATCCATGACTAGGGAGAAATCTGCTACCCTGCTTCTTCTGTGGAACTCCTATTCTGTCGTGTACAGAGATGGACATATTCTGTTTCAAGGAGCTTGGAGTCCCTGCTACTTCTGGGTGTGATGTGGGTGAAGCTTGATAGGGCCCTGGCACCTTCAGGTACCAATCAGAAGAGCAAAGCTCATTGAATTAAAGCATTTCCAGGAAAATCAAGGCCATTTTAGATCAGTTTTAGTTCTTGACAAGTCTGCTCTTCAATGTGGCTCTTTTTAAGAATTATTTTCTATTAATTTTCTCTTCCAGATACATTTTAGATTAGATCTCTCTCAGATACATTAGGACCAGTTAGAAAGAACAGGGAGCTAGACCATGGGAGCATGGCTGTGTCTACTATTAAATAACATGTCAGTGGTCATTATTATAGCAATGTCTACTGTGATGGTAGAAGAAGGTTTTGAGAGAGACTATTTCAGCATTTCAATCTCTCTATGTCTATAGTTCATCTCTGTATTTCATCAATATACTTAAATGTGTCTGTATTCTGATTAAGCAGAAAACAGAGTTATTTTCTGTAATGTGCAGAAATGTCTCCGTCATGAAAGCATTGATTTATCTTCTCCAAAGTACATAGCTCTGAAAAAAATTAGTTATTGAATTGAGAGCATTACACTACAGGACACAATATATACTTTTCACTTTGTAAACCAAGGTTAAATCAAGTAATGTAGAAAAATACTGACTAATGCAATGATACTGGTCATATATAAAAAAAAAACTCAGATCAAGATTTTTTTAGCAATGACTGGTGACTTTGTCATCTCATATTTTTCAGTTTGAGACATTTTAAAATAATCTCATAGTGATTTATGGGTTTTCAGTAGTTCAAGACATTAAAATTCCTTAGAGAATTCTTGTTTTGAACACTTTGCAAACAAAAACATTAATTACTTTAGTATCAACATCCTGAACCTGCTCTGGATTGTTTTAGAGGTGATGACTAGGCCAATAGCTGCAGTGAAGATCTTTGCTGCTGCAAAGTTAATATTGTGTTACTTTGTAAAGGGATAATACAATTTTGTTCAATTCTACTGCTTCCACCCAAGTGAGATCTTCCTCAATTCACTCTTCTGTCCTTTCTAGTACTTCTTCAGACAGCTCTTCACAATACATCTGAAACCTCAGTTGGAAGAGTAGGATCCACTGTGTTGACATTTCTACTAAAAATCTAAAGGATATATCTATTGTAGAGATTTGTCACAGTACTTCAATTGCACTTTTAAAATTCAAGAATCTAATATACTTTTGTGTTTGCTAATACTATGATATTAATTTCTACAATGCCATTTGGAAATATTTTTCTATGTAATTTTTATACCTAGAACAAGAATGAGTGAAAGTTGGACAGGTTTCAAGGAACATTATTTTGAGAATGTATTTATTTAGAGATTCGTGTTTGAAAGACATCCAGACATAAGGATGAATGGATTTCTAGGCCTCTTAAAAATTAATTACCCTATATAGTATAAGATTTCTGTATTAAGATAATATTCAAGCAAAGTAAAGATTTCTTTTCCTTATGCACGTGGACCAGCTTAGAAATGTTGTTATTCTTATGAGCTCAAGCTCACTTTCCTCTATTGTACATTATGTTGGATTCGTGATTTTGCTATCAAATTGCTTTCTGCTTTAGAAAGTAATGTGACAGTAGAAGACATTGTATTTGTAGGTTTTATATTAGTAACACCAATTTAAAACTAAAAGAAAAATTTTTTAAAAAATTGAAAGGTTGAAAAGCAAACAAACCTATCATTCTCTGCTATTTTTCTAGTGCTATCCACAGCCCACATAGATAGTAAAGCCAGGCTGCCCAAAGGGCAACTCAGAATAACAAAAAGCCTTATTTAAGATAGTATAGAGTATGGGGCAGGAAAGGTCAGGGAATGGGAGAAGTTCCAAGAACTGATTCAATACCCACTGATTTCTGAAAGTGTAGGTTTATGACCTGTCACATCTGTTTCCCATTAATTTGCTCAATAGTTCCACTGGAAATTGCCAGGAGAACAATAATCTGGATCCCACACATGATAGGAAGCCAGATCCTGTTGAAGGGTAGCCTATTATTTGTGCTCTCTGCAGGAACACCTTTTTCCTTCTTATGATTCTACCTTGCTTGAGTAATGATTTCTCTCTGAGTTTGACTTCATCCTCTGCTTTGATAGCCACTTAAAAAATGCTGTTTCCTTAAAATACAACAGCTCTGTTTTCCTCTTCAGTCTGTGTACTGTAAATTAGATCAAAATTAGAGCAATCCTCAATAACCAATAATTCTGGAAAAATATTTAAATTTAGCAGTGCATACTATATTTGGTGTGTAGCTTGGGGGCTGTTGCTCCATATTCATGAGATTGTTTTAATTGAATTTAATATAATTTTGGAAAGGAAACAAAATCTATTTCAAAGTTAATATATTTCTAATTAAAGTAAATTTCATTTGACTTGAAATTCTTTCACATTATTTACCAAAACTGGATTTCAGATTATTTATGGGCTGCCAAATTGTTTGATAGGGATCTAATGTATTTTCATTTCTTTGTGACAGATGAATGCCCTGAGCCATTTGCAACCTTTGATATATATTCAGAGTATTTTCTGGCGTCAGTCAGCTGAGTTTATGTGCATGAACTGGGTTCTGAGTATTGATTTTAGTGTCTTTTGTTCTTCATAATTTTTAACTCTAAGACAAGTTACAGTAATATCATTATTAAACCTTTTAACCTGTAGAAGCTATGAGAATTGATTAAACTAATGAAGATTTAAAATAATTGCCAAAACCCATTCTGACATATTCAATTTTTATGCCTGAACCATTAGACTGTATCTCGTGTGTGCGCTGCATAAAACCTACGGCACAAGCCAATTTTTTTACTTCTATTTTTGTGTCATCCCCATCAAGGAAACTGCAAAGTAACTCTACCTGACTCCTGCCTTGCTCTCTCTTTCTTGAGTGTGTTAATGATTCTGGAAGTGCACAAAATAGCCATGGGTTCCCTTCTGTAAATGTTCAATAAGAGTGCACAAATGTATACACTAGCATGCAGTGAATATGCCTCTAGATTTAGAGCACCATACTTGGTTGGTTGACTAAATTCTTCAAGTTATGTTCATTTGTTGAGTTTTGTTAATGTGTTCCTTTTTAATGCATTTTTATATTACTTTTATTATTATTTCTGCATTTTTTTTTCTCTCCCCCTCTTTTTGCTTTACACATTGCTTTCATTTGTTTGTAGAAGAAAAGAAAACAGATCCAGAGAATGGGGATACAGGTAGGGTGACTATTAAAAATATTTTTATGTGTTTCTCTTAAATTCTTTGATCTGTTATGTTTAAGCAAATTTGTAGCAAGGAGTTGGAGTGTAATTTTGATGTATTTTGTGGATTTCAAAATAGACACTAGGAAATGGAACCTAAGAAAGGGCTTTCCCGAATGCTATTTCCTTTGCTATTCTAAGGGCGTCAAATAAGGGTGAGAAATGGTAAGAAAGAGACCAAAATCAGCTAAATGCAGATTTCATACACTTTAATACCTCTATTCTGTCCTCCCATCTCCAGACACAGAGCATGCTCACCTGCACACGTTTTTCTGCTCTCTTACAGGTTTCTGATTCCCAAAATATCAGTGTTCCTTTAGTCCCCTCATTATGAACATTTTTCCCATGCCTTAGTGGCTGTGCCTCCCAAGTTTTCTATCCCTTTTGTCTATATGTATTCTAAAAAACTAAATCTGTTCTAATATTATAAGGGAAACTCCACTCTTCTTCCATACCAGATTCCCTTTAACTCTCTGTGCCACAGAAGCCTCATTGTACAGCAAACTCCTCTTCCAAACTCAGATCCTGGTACAGGATCTCCATCACCAGCATCTCTAGGAACTAGAATGGCTTAGTAAGTCCCACTGGAGAAGACAGTGAAAGAAAGAATGAAAGAGCAGAGGTTCTAGCAGGTTTTGTTTTGATTTTTGACCAGATATGTTTGCCTTAGGCTGAGCTGGAAGATAAGGCCAGTTTCTTGTCCCTTTTGTCTCTGGTGTGGATCACAGGCTATCAGCCTGTGTTAAGTCTTACCCCAGAGAGTAACCAGTATTTGACCTGAAGAGCAAATAACATTCTTTAGCTCTAGGCTGAATTCAATGATTTGTTATCTCCTTGTAAAACTGTGACTCAGTGTGCAGCTGAGGGGTTAGGAAAAGTTTATACATTAACCAAATGACCGATTACAGCCCTTCACTTTAGTAGTGAGTAGTTGAATCTTATCTTATTTCATCTTAGCTTACTTCAAGTTAAAACATTAAAATAATGGTTTTTATTTGATGCTAAAGCAGTGATTTTAGTGCCTGTCCTGAGTCCTATTATAAGAATGGAATTATACAGCCACCACCTAGACCATAGTAGGAATCATAAGGATCTTACCTCAACAGGGTTTATCCCTAGCTTCTACTTCAGTAAAAGAATCAAGCAGAGTTCCTTTTTCTACTATGTTTAATAGGCAATAGTAGTTGCAGCTCAAGCTGGGTGCCTCTTAATTGGGGCCCTGCCTGTTACTGGATTTTATAGTCTCTACATGTGGCTTCATTTTCTGATTGCACTCCTGCTCATCCAATCCTGTTTGCAGCATCTGGGGTCTTCTCTTCTGATTTACTCCCACAGCCTCCAGGCACCCTTTTGTCTGCGTTTGAGAAATTTCCCTACTTTTGTTACAAAATATCCTATAGCTAAAGTTGAAATTATAGTTCATTGTCTAGTGGTTACATTTCCATAGATAAAAACAAGGGTCAAATTCATGTGGCCTAAGGTTTAATTTACGTAGTCACTAGAGCTAAGCTCTAGCACAACAGTGACTCCCTGCAGTCCTTGTGGATCTGAGAGAATACAGGGCTGCACTGCCCAGTACTTCTGTGCCTTACTCTGCCATTTCAGGAGTCTTTGCTCTGTAGTTATATTGCTTCCCCTCAGCACATTCTAGTCTGAAAATATAGGGAATGGTGGGTAATGAATCAGCAGTTGTCTCTCTGCCAGCTCAGAATCGCCTTTTGCCCATGAAAATCCCACTGAACTAACCTGCAGGCCATGGGTCATTAATGTTAGAGAGTTCAAAATGATCAAAACTCCAGAATGTTGCCTATAGTGCAATGATCCCAGTTATGTCTGATGAGCAGCACCAGGCTTTGTTCTTCCCTTCAGTCTTAAGGTTTTTTTGTTTGTATGGCTGGAATTTGAGTGTCTCATTGGATATTTTATTGGAGGCACAACTACTGTTTGTAAGCAAAATTCTAGAAGGATGTTCAAGCAGAAATGAACTCATTTTACCTGGCCAAAATATGGTTGCATACACTTTGATACATTGTGACAGTACTTCAGTATATCACAAGCAGCTTTAACTTTTCTAGTCCCAGTCTTTACAGTCCTGAAAATGTGTTGTACTCAGCTCCAGCTCAGGATCTAATAGCTCAAGAGCTCAGTCAGCCCTTGAGTGATTCAGGTGTGTGAAAGCTTATGCTCCTACATTTTAACCACTGTTGATAACTAATGGTTGATTCAGGTTAGTTCTGGTTTGTTGACACATGCTCCATGAACAGTTTCTGATTGCAGTGGAGTCCTTAGGGTAGGACCAGTGTTCTACCTTGGTACCAACCTCATGTTAAAAGCTGAAGCTCCTGATGCACCCAGACAGTTACTGAACTCTCTAGAAGTATTTTCTGCTCCTGCTAAACCCTCCCACACAGGTGTCAGCTAAGCAGAGATTTGCCAGCAGACGTGGGGGTGATGATAGCCCTGCATTCCCAGCACTTAAATGACATCCTTTCCTGCTGGACCATGGCAATGGGAAGTGCCATGACACCCTCTCAGCCTTTCCCAGTGCCATGCAGGGCACAGCTGGCTGAAGTTACAGTGAGCTCAGCCTGGGGCAGGCAGTAACCCTGCACTCCCTTCCTGCATGTTGTTCCATGGACTGTAGAAACAGAGCTACCTCTGCATTATGAACTCTCCACTGCCCATGGGTTTTCCTCTTTTTGCACACAACTGAATCCACTCACTTGTTAGAGTCAGCTTCAAAAATAAAAAGGAAGTTAGATTTTCCTTTAATAAGACTTTATGGGAATTTAATATTTTTTCAAAATTTTTCTGTCTTGTTTTTCTCTTGAGAAAGAATAAGCTACAAATTTTGCTTGTTTTGCTGCAGAGAACTCACACCAAGGCCTTATATCTTATGCTTCCCATTTGAGTGGAATATTTTGTACATATCATAGGTAATTGGATTTGTGGAAATCTTTCACTTTGCCAACTGAGCATAGATAAGAATGAAAATTTTCTCAAGTAATTGTGAAATTTTTAATTTATGCTAAAGAATTGTTATTTCTTCACTTGCAATTTCCTGAAATTTGGCAGAATATCTGGAGACAAAGAAAACATGCCATGATTTCATAATAAAACATAAGAAAAATAGAAAAAAATTATATTTTTGTGAAAACTGCCTCCTTTCTTACATTACTGAAAAATGACAAGATTTTGATTTCAGCAAAAGATGCTTTCTTTCTTTGAGAGGAGGCTGGAGTATTTTGCTTCAAAAAATTACTTCTTAATTACAGTTACTTCTGTCATTGAAAAAAGAAAATATTTTCCAGTGTAAAGCTTTTTGTTTTCAAGTGAAAAAAAATAGAGCTCTTAAAACTAGATCCTAAAAAAGTCACTTCATCTTAATGATAAATTGACAAACACTGCTATGGGTTCTATAATTGTTGAGGAAAATAATGATAGGAAAAATGAACTGTATTTTATTTTATAAATTTTCATCTGCTGCTCTCTTTTTCATTTTATTTCTCCCTATAAAACACCATTTATTATTTCTCATTATTTTTTTCTTAATTTTAATTTCTCTTAGAATTTTTAATTAAGTATTTTCTTTCATGTTTTTGTAAGATAGAGAATTGTAAAGATAGAGGGAGAATATGAAAACTAGAAGCCAGATTTTTTGTAGAGAGCAGAAGAGCTTAGTGTTTTTGCATTCCCACTTCCTTTTACCTCCTCTCCTTCCAGATTTCCTATGAAGTGCCACAGCATCTGCCTGGCAGCTCTCATAGTATGTGCTACTACCCCTATTGTTCTCAAGAAAGAAAATACAAAGCTGAGAGGCCCAGGTTCTGTGCAGAGCCCCACTTTGCTGTTAGATTATGACTTATAACTGAGGTTTAGAGTTTAAAGCAGGTTTCTGTAGTACACTGCAATCTAATATTCCCATCTCAGTTCCATAAATACAGTCCATATTGCTCAATACATACAATATCCAGAAACTTATATTTATGATTAGTGGGATTCTGAAATTTTAATCCTAGACAACTTTTGCATTAAAATTATGGATATTTTAAGACAAATGTCAGTCAAAATGAATGCTTTTTAGTATTCAGTGGATAATGATTTATTCTTGACTTATACCAGGGTAAAGTGGTAAAGAATCAAACTTATGTGTGTATGATAGCTAATTATATTTTGTTTTAAAATCTTTTCTGAGCTGTTGTCTTCCTCTCATTTTTCTATTTCTCAGTCTTTCACCTCAGCTTTGGCACTTCCTTATTATTTTACATTGTAAATTGTGGTATTACAATACCAATTTGTTGAAAGCTACTGCCTGAGTCACACAGTGAGACCCTATCCCTGACTGAAACTAATCACGTATTTTATCCTGGAAGAGTGATTCCTGAATTGTTCTTGAAGCTGTGTTTCATTAGAATGTAATACAGTGATGCCACTGGGTGGCTCTTTATGATTCTTTTAGTCATTCTTTGAATTTTGAGATTACTAAGAATAAACTCAAATAGTAAATGGAAGGTCTGCTAGTCTGTGGTTGTTACTTGATTTTTAATTTGATATGTCAGATTATAATAAATGCAGAACCAGAATCCCTGTTCAAAATAAGCAGGTTATCTTATTCCTCCTTATTAATTAAAAGACTCCATTTCTCTTGAATATTCTTAAAATAGTAAAGTTATATTCTGTGGAAAAATTGTGTTTCATTTGAACTGAGTTTTATTCAAAAAGTTGGCTCATTTGAATTGTCTAGATAATACAACACTCATTAAGATTCTGCTGAAATACTTATCTGCTATTTTCCTCCTTTTACAACTTTTTGGTTTTATGCAAAATCATAATTCAGGAACTAATATTATATGCACAGCATTTAAGTAAATCAAATTTCATCTCTTTCTGTTAAAACTCTCATGAGCATAATTTGAACCTTGGAATTGATGACTGCTTGTGTATTTATTTTCTTTTTTTCTTCTGTTTTTAACTTAACAGGTGCAATGGATGTAGAAGAAAGGAATCGCCAAATGAAAATGAGCAAGTACAAACAGGTAGCAGGATCAGATTCCAGGCTGGAACAAGATTATCATTCTAAGGCAAGGGAGTTTTGTTTTGAAAAGCAACAAAATATGCTAAAATGAAATATCCAACATCCTATTAGAAAGTATTAGATAAGTGCCAGGTTGTTTCTTCAGTAAAAGTTTCTTGTGTGTCTGTAATAAAACTTTGGAAATGTGCTGCAAAACTCTTAACACACAGTGTTCTTGATTATGAAAATTTAAGGATAAGTTAAGGCAAATGAAAGAAGCAGTTAAATTGTCTCTCAGAATGAGCAATAGAGCCATGATTTAAAAACTCAAAGGGAAGGAAAAGAGATGTTAATTGAGTGATGGACGGCAAGAGAGCTATTGAAACTTGTTCACGACTTTCATATAGTTGAACAGAGGATTATCTTGATCTATTGAAAACTGGAAGATGCAGTGTTACTTAGTTTAATAGTGGCTTTTAGCACTTGGAAAAGTGTTTTATACACCAGTAAAAGCTTTCACCCCAGCTGTGGCAGATCGCCAAGAATCTGAATATCTATGTAGTGTATCTTAAATATACTACCCAAAATTTCCTGCTATCTGGAGCAGGGTCATGTCATATAGAGTGTGTTAATTAAAATAATCAAGATATTTTCAATTTAAATTCTATTATACAAAAATAATTTAGTGTCCTCTAAAAGACTTCATTAATTGAGGTCACATTTTAAGTGGAAAACATGAGACTTCTGACCTATAAAATCTGGCTGAGGAAAAGATATCTGGTTTAGGCTTTCATTTCCAGGGTGTTTTTCCTTGCTCCGAGGATTGGCAAAGCTACTGTAAAATGAGGCACTTAGTATTTGAATGAAAATAAAGCAACAAATTCATTAATTAATTTTATTATTAATTATTGATTATTAATTATTTTTAGCTATTATTTTCGCAGATAATGTAGACCAATGCACTTCATATAATGGCTTTCTAGAATATACAATTCAGTGTGGGAAAATAGAAGTGCTTTAGAAAAGTCATTTCCAAATGGAAAGCCCTGTTAATGAAAACAGAATTGACAAAACCAAGACTGTGAAAATGGCATAAGAGGCTTTAAAATTGTAGATGTGCTGCATGGTTATTTGGGTATTTTGCAAATGTAGTTTTAACTGCACAAGGCATAGGAACGTTTATTAATATGTAAGAGGGACTTGGATGCTGTTGTGTTCAGCTGTTTCTTTTATTTTGATACTTATGGCAAAGTTACCTTTGAGAAATGAGCATAATACTGTGAGTGAACCTTATCATAAGTGCTATGATTGTATGTACCAAAAAATATGACTTTATGTATTGTATGTATAACCAGACTTAATCTGCTGATTTTCCTGCTCCCTCAATGCTTGATGAAATTTGAGTCAGAAGTAAGACTGGTGCAGATTAAATTGGTTCTCATGTAAAGGAGTTAGATAGAACATGATTATCAAAGGAAGTATTCACTACCCTTGTTTTCCCATTTCACCTACACCATATTATTGGGCCTCACTCTACATCTTTTATCTTTTTAGTTAAAATTTTACCTTCAGTATTATTGGAATGTATTAAAGAGGAAAATTATAAATGGAATTATTTTATGAATATGGTGGTTTATTTATTGCACAAATCAAACAATGTCTCCAGAAATAAACAGTTAATTTACTCTTCTGCTTAAGTGAAGTTTCAGTACTTGAAAATGAGTTATTTATTCTATCAACGAACCTGTGGAGCTAGACACGGAATATTCACACATATGTAGTAATTCAACATGCACTCTTAAAATTGTGTAGTTTCAAAGCCATGTGAGAACAATATCTCTCGTGAGCCATATGAGAGTTCTGTCTTTACATTTTACTACCACTGTTTCAATTCCCCTTAATTAAATTCCTATATTATCTAGAGAGAGTAAATGAGTAAGTAAAATTTATCTACCTGGTTTCTACAAAAATTCTTTTGGAATCATGGACTGAAACATGTATGTCAAATGCTGACTGGAATGTTCTGTACAGTATATAGTGACTTCGATTTTCTTAGGCACTCATGAGTGCCATGTGTGAGAAAGATGTCATTAAGTAGGCATCAAGCCACATTCAGGAAAACCAGCACATAGAATTTTCTTTTACCTTTTCTGTTTTATTTCTTTCTTTAAATAGAAGTCAACAGGTCAACAGCATCTTTATGTCCCTCTTGATTACTTTTAAGTTTAAAAAAAATATCCAATATCTTTCCTTGCTGAGAAGGCAAAAGCTATAAAAGTAGTTCTATTAAGTATTGAAATATTAAAATAGGCATCCTGTATTACATCTCTGTAGAATTTTTCTGCCTCTGGAAGTCACTATTAGAGGCTTTAGAGGAAGGCACCACCTTCTGTGGTGCTTAGTCAAAAATTAAGAACTTGTGGGCAAAGTTTAATTCTAGACCTGTATTCTTAGAAGCTGCTGAAATACGAAATTGATTCTCCCTTATATTTTTTCCTCATGATTGATAAAGATTATATTTCTATTATTCTTATACATTCCTCATTATTGTTCAAACAATAATTATTCTGCTTTCATAATATTTTGTATGCATTAGTTTTGCAGGGTGCAAAAGATTTATTTCCTTAAATTACTTACTTCAGAAGCCGCTGAAGTGTGGTTTCAGGACAGACATATGGAAAGCAAGTAATAAATTAATATAAATATTTACAGCTAAGCATATGAGAGAAAAACATTGAAGGCACTAAGTAAATTAGGTAAATTAATTTCTGGTATTGGAACAACTATTTATTTCTGCTTATTGGGTACTAGTAAACTTGTGCTAAATAGGATATATAATAAAGTCTGAATTGCAGTGCTGGTAGATGCTGATATACTGGTACACCTGAATTATGGAAATAGAGAAAAAATGTTCAGTAGCACAAGAGTGTTCCAGCAGAGGCAAAATTAGCCATTTACCATACTGTGCCTCTGCAATGCCAGAGTTTTTGCATAAGAACTAAGCTTCCCAGTTCTAAATTGTTAAGCAAGATGTACAGTGAAGGGGGAAGGGCCAAGATGGCAGCTGAGCAAGCTTCATGCTGGACTCACACAGTTCACATTTTGTACAACTTGGGAGTCACTTTCCAAACTACCTCATCAAACCTCTCTGAGGTATCTGCCTTGTTTCCTGCTTCATACTCCCACCATTCTGGCCAACAAATTGGTAGTGCTGTGTTTGGTGAGCAGCATCTTCCCCTGGCCATTCCCACCACTGCTCAGATTCAGGAATTCTTGCTGACAAGGAGGAAGGGTGTGAGAAATCCTGTTATTCCTCTCTCCCTGCCCCATGACTAGAATGTGCACAGTGGATCAGCTGAGGAGAGTTAAAAAGCTCTGCTGCTACTGAGTAAAAAAGAGAGAAGATACTTCTTGTATATAGAATCCCAGAATTGTTTGCAATCAATGTGAAATCAGTGTAGAATCAAGAGAGAATTCCATTAACACAGGCTAATATTAACCACTGCAGAGAAGTCTGATCAATGATGTCAAACTAAAGGGAGCTGGATTTATGTAGGAGTTGCAACAGTGAAAACCTATGGCCTTCTTTAGGAACAAAGGTAAAACAGAGACTGCAACTTGCTGACACACATTTAAACCTCTAAGTATCTTGAGACTCATTTTCTTTGTTTTATTAGGAAAAAAAAGCTACAAAAAGGCAGAGAAATGCAGTTACATAACATAGCAATTAGTAATAATCAGTAATGTAGTAATTAGCTGTAGAGTATGTTAGAGCAACAAGGAATAAAGTTGGCATAAAAGAGGTAAAAGAGTAGATAATTTTTTTTTCTGCCGAAAAGGCTTATTTAGCCAAATGTAGAAAAGAGTACATCAAATACAGAATAGTATAGAACATAATAGAGGATTTCCTAACTCCACCTTTAATGAGTCATATTGATGATAAGACTGAAACCCTCTGCATCATCAGATGTATGTAAAGCTGCAGTTCCTCATAATCAATAATTACAATTCAAGTTTTAGATACAAGCATAATTCTCTGTGTTTGGTATAGGAGAATAGTACTATAAGGCATACTAGCATGCTACTTTGTGATCTTTTAGCCTGATAACAAGACCAAGACAAATTAAACTGTGGAAAAGAAGAGTCAATCATGTGTTTAGCTTTCTGAGCAGTGTAGATGCAGCTGAAATGCTCTTGGAGCATGCAGACACAGAACAGCTGCAGTTCTTCAGAATGAGCCACTTTGATTCAGCAATGAATCAAGTACAGCCTTCTGCGATTTCTGTGTGAGAGAATGTGAAAAAGGTAAGATCTGAAGGTGGAAGAGGCTGAATTGGAATGCCTCAGAAGCAGATTTTAATTGTAAGGTCTTGTAAAGTGCAAAAGTGCTGCCAAGAGCTGCCTTTTCCCTCTGAAACCTGCAGTAAGTAGTTGTGCCATGGGTACAGCTACATGTGGAATCCTTTGACCTTTGCTCAACTGAAAGATTTCATTTAATGGTGTTTTGGGAATCCCTTTGTCTCCTCCTTAAAAATCAAAGCAGAGCAGTACACAGAGCAGCAAAGAGTGCTAGCAGAAGCACTTGCCACCTTTCTTCACCTTTCTTCTTCTCCCTTGTGGAGAAGGGGATTAAACAAATGTCAACTAAAGGGATGTTGGGAACTTTGATATTTTGCTGCATATAAGCTGTATTTGATTTATATTGGCAACTGGATTAGAGCTCTTGGAGGATCATGAGTAGCCCAGTAATAATTTGATAATTTATAATAATTACGAATATACTTCTTTGATCTGTAATTTTTTTCTTACGACTCATGCTGTTAAGGATGTAATTAGAAATGTTAAAAATACTAAATGCAAAATGGAGGCTATTTAGATATCCATATACCCTCAAAACAGTTCATAAAATGTTTTTTATATACTTCTTTTTAACATACCGGTTTAAATTTTAAGATGTTAAATATCTGGATAAAGCTTGGAGAAAGAAAATAATTCGAATGGAGCTGTGCTGGAGAATAATTAAGAAAGCAAAGACTAACACAGATAAGACCATACACAAATATTCAG